TAAACTGTCTGCATCATCATGGATACATTTACAGAGGGGTTAGGCATCCAACTTAAAAGAGGAAAACATGAGTTGCGACCTGACATTTTTTAGGAAAGTGGATCTTTTTTGTGTCTTAAAGTATTAGATATAAACCAATAAATCTACAAACGTTAAAGATGAGTTGAGTCATGAAACGATCAACTGTCTCAGAATGATTGGCAAACACAAAGTCCAAGGTTCTCGGTGCGTCTTTGGTTATTTTGGATTTCTAATGTCATTCCTTCTTTCTGCAGAATGTAGTTCCAGATCTCAGCTATACGGTCCGCTCCCCGATGCTGGACACCTGGGAGGGCGTTAAGCAGCTGAAGGCTGCTCTATGGGCTCTGGTAAGTAAAAGGCTTTCTATCCAGGCTTCTGTCTTTCTGACGCTCACACTGATGTTGGTTTTATTGTTTCTGTTCCAGGGAAACATTGGTTCTTCGAACTGGGGTCTGAATCTCTTGCAGGAGGAGAATGTGATTCCTGACATCCTTGCATTAGCTCAGCACTGTGAGGTGCTGTCGGTTCGTGGGTAAGTTTAACCGGACTGGATTTCCTCTTTAAATACCAATTAGGTTCAAGAAAGGCTAACAGCAGTGAGTCACTCCCCTTCCCTCTCTTTCCATCGACAGGACATGCATTTATGTGCTTGGTGTGATTTCTAAGACCAAGCAGGGATGTGAGGTCCTCAAACAGTACGGTTGGGATGCGGTCAGGCATAGTCGCAGGACGCTGTGGCCTGTCACTCCTGACGAGGTGGACACCCAGCTCACCGCAGAGCTTTCCTCCGTACCGAGCACGCTCAGTCTGAACTCGGAATCCACTGGCTCCCGCCACAACAGCGAGAGCGAGTCTCAACCAAGTACGTAGGCTGTTGTCTTTAGTTTTAATACTGAAAGTTTAACTGGCAAGAATGTTTTTTTGAAATACTCTGTCAGTCTTAATTATTGACGCATCTGGGTTGGTTTCCCAGAAAAACTCAAACAGATACATTTCTTATTGCAGTAGCATATTCACACCCTGATATATTTTTAAAATCACTTCTCAAACAATTTATGGTAGAAATGGGTTATGTCCTTATCCATAGCTTTGTTTTTTTTGTTTTTTTTTTATCTAACAAATATATTTGGGTAAAACACAAATAATGGCCACTGATTGATTTATATTTTTCAACATTTGGAACAAAAGTTCATACAATAAATTTTAAGTGCAAACAAGGTAACTTTTATATAATTAAACAATACAATTATTCTAACTATTTAATATAGTCTAGAGAAGCTGAACAAACTCTGTTTCCTTTTTGCATTGTGTAGAAACCCCATATTACATTTGCAAATGTTTATTTTTGGAGCCTAGAAGCCGCTAAAACGGCATAATTTGCTCATGCTTTGGTCCAGGATGTAAGACAGAAGAGTATTACCATTTGCGTCATTAAAAACACTCTAAATGCACTTAAAACTAAGAACAACATAACTATAAAGTACTGTAGAAAATGTTCAAGTATTCATTAATATTTGACTTGAACCCAACCTTCTTACATCAGTTTTGTTAAATCAAAATTAACTTGCACTTTGAGGCTGTTTGTGAAAGAGTCACAGCAGCAAATAATCTGTTTTTTATAACCCTAACACAGACGCTTGAACAATGTCTTAAGGTCTAATGTTTCTCACAGTCTGCTCCGGTCTGAGAGGGTCATTAAAAAAATCATTAAAAGTCATTAAAGCTGAAGTCTGTAAGTTTTTAAAAATCACTTTTTTGTCATATTGGCTAAAACTGTCCCTATGCCCAGACAGCAGTACATGTGATATGTAATCTGTGAAAAAAACTGCTTCAATTGGTCCCGCATACTGCCTGTATTTCAATCTGGAAAGAATAATTCGGGACAAGTCAAAACAACCAATCACAGCCAGAGGAGCGTCTGATGGAGTGTCAATCACAGCTCACACACACAGGGTGGGGGAGTGGCGTGAAACCTGTTCTTCAAATTTTCAGTTGAAGTCTGCTCACTTCTCAATGTTACAGACTGCAGCTTTAAATAAGAATTTTTTAAATGCCTTAATTGGCATTAAAAAGTCATTAAATGTGATAATCATGGCATTTAAAACGCATAAAAAAAAGGTTATAAAAACAATTTCGTCAGATATATTGTTTTGCGATATATTTGTGCGGAACTGCTTCCAGTTGATTGTAAAGTTGTATGTTCAGAAAAGAATTCATGGGTTCTTGTTGATGGTATTAAAATTATTTCTAAGATTATTAAAAGCACATTAAAAGGCATTAAATTAGAGTTACTCATTCCTGTATAAACCCTGTACTGATTACTACAGGCTCAAATCAAAAGTGGTCGCTGTACATCCTCCCTGAAGTGTTAAAACTCAATACAAACCATAATCTGTTGTAGCTCCTATGACCAGGATAGCTTCTGATCTAGAACTCTGGTGTTTTCTATTGAGCCTTTTCATTTTTTAATTGGACAGATTTGTTGGATAATTAACCCATTAATGAACCATTGGTTGTTTTACTACGGAAGAGGATTAGGGCCACTGAAAAAAAAAAAAAAAAAATTATTTTTTTTTTTTTTTTTTTTTTTTTT